ACTGTTTAACACCAGTTTTCTGGACAAATTTGAATGCACCAATTTTCAGGATAGATTTCAATGCACCATGATATTCACAAACTTGGGTGGCCAAGTACTCCTACCTAACCCACGTTTCACTCACAAGATCCACCATTATTTTAAAGTTCATTTCAAAAGTTAGATTGTAAATGTTTCCCAAATATTACAAATTGAATATTCAAAAGTTGATTTTAAAATAATTCGAAATGACAACAAAATTCAAATATCATACTTTTCAATGAAATACAAATAGTTTCGTACAACGAATGATGCATAGCTAAGTGAAACACAACATTGCCTACATATGCTCATTTTTTTATTACAGTGACAACTCATCTCTTATTGATATATGTGGGATTCTCAATTCAGAAATCACATGGCAACAGTGAATTCACTATTTACCTTACAGTAGCATGTCCTTATTTTGTCCGTATATGCAGATGGATTGTCAAGTCATGTGACTTGGTGGACAGGCTTTGGTTTCTCAATTTTTTGCTCGATTTTTTTATTGCAGTGACAATCATCTCTTATTGATATATGTGGGATTCTCAATTCAAAAAGTCACATGGCAACAATGAATTCACTGATTTACGTTACAGTGAGCATGCCCTTATTTTGTCGGTATATGCAGATGGATTGTCAAGTCATGTGACTTGGTGCACAGGCTTTTGGGTTCTCAATTTTTTGCTCGATTTTTTTATTACAGTGACAACTCATCTCGTATTGATATATGTGGGATTCTTAATTCAGAAAGTCACATGGCACAATGAATTCATTGATTTACCTTACAGTGAGCATGCCCTCCTAATTTTGTCCATATATGCAGATGGATTGTCAAGTCATGTGACTTGGTGCATAGGCTTTGGTTTTCTCTATTTTTTGCTCGATTTTTTTTATTACAGTGGCAACTCATCTTTTATTGATATATGTGGGATTGTCAATTTAGAAAGTCACATGGCAACAGTGAATTCACTGATTTACCATACAGTGACCATGCCTTTATTTCGTCCGTATATGCAGATGGATTGTCAAGTCATGTGACTTGGTGCATAGGCTTTGGGTTTCTCAATTTTTTGCTCGATTTTTTATTGCAGTGACAACTCATCTCTTATTGATATATGTGGGATTCTCAATTCAGAAAGTCACATGGCAACAATGAATTCACTGATTTACCTTACAGTGAGCATGCCCTAATTTTGTCCATATATGCAGATGGATTGTCAAGTCATGTGACTTGGTACACAGGCTTTGGATTTCTCAATTTTTTGCTCGATTTTTTTATTATAGTGACAACTCATCTCGTATTGATATATGCGGGATTTTCAATTCAGAAAGTCACATGGCAACAATGAATTCACTGATTTACCTTACAGTGAGCATGCCCTTATTTTGTCCGTATATGCAGATGGATTGTTAAGTCATGTGACTTGCTGCACAGGCTTTGGTTTTCTCAATTTTTTGCTCAATTTGTTTATTATAGTGACAACTCATCTCTTATTGATATATGTGGGATTCTCAATTCAGAAAGTGACATGGCAACAATGAATTCACTGATTTACCTTACAGTAAGCATGCCCTTATTTTGTCCGTATATGCAGATGGATTGTCAAGTCATATCACTTGGTGCACAAGTTTTGGTTTTCTCAATTTTTTGCTCGATTTTTTAATTACAGTGACAACTCATCTCTTATTGATATATGTGGGATTCTCAATTCAGAAAGTGACATGGCAACAATGAATTCACTGATTTACCTTACAGTGAGCATGCCCTTAATTTGTCGGTATATGTAGATGGATTGTCAAGTCATGTGACTTGGTGCACAGGCTTTGGTTTTCTCGATTTTTTATTTTCATTCTAGTGACAACTCATACCTTGTTCGTATATGTGGGATTGTCATGCAGAGGCATCTTTCTAAAGCCGTTCATAACCAACTATATAAACGACTAAAGGTGAAGACACAACCTTACAACTCATTTCACCCTACAAAATAATCATTCATTTGTTTTAAAAAATTAGCATGGCTACATGGTTCATGGGAGGGAGTGGGAATCGCAGAGGAGGTAGGAACTTGCAAAGGGGTGACAGTTCACGACGAGGAGGGGGAAGGGGAAGTGGCGATGTTAACGATGAAACACCATTTACTTTGTTAGATGCCTCTTGTGCTTATCATGATAGGTTTGGGAAGCGACATTTTGTCATGCCCAAGTACTATCGAGATCCATGTGGTTTGGTGGAGGATCTATCAGATAATCAAACAGGATATGGTTTAGCAAACGCTAGACTTTTGAAGTGGCCCGCACTATTTATAGAGCGAGTGCAAATGGAAAGATTATGTCGGAAAAATCGATTGAAGGTGCCAAAAGCACGTTTTGTTGAGATCTAAAAGGAAGATCCTGATAATGTTGATCGACTATGTGAAAGACTACAATGTGAGATTTCTCAAATGAACCGTAGGTTAGCCCGCAATATGCAGCTATACGTAGTTAAGAAGGATGCCCAGAAGAACAAAACAGAACCAAATGATGCGGCTATCAAGGGTATCATGGAGGATCCTCAGCTTGTCTCTGATGCCGACCTTTCGGATTGTTCAGACTCTGAGCCACCTATCGATTTAAGCGCGAATTAGGTGTTAATGTCTACACTTCGGCAATATTAGGTCATGCATTAATATGTAATGTCTGTGTTAGACTAAGTGTTTCCGTAATGAGTTTGTCAGATTGTCTGCCTAATATTTGTCTGTCTAACTGTTATGTTTATGTATTGTGTGTTCAGTTCAGGGTGTTTAGGATGTATGTATTGTGTGTTCAGTTCATGGTGTCCAGCATGTATTTTTGTGGGAGACTTATGTCTGTACTACCTATGTAATTGAAAACTGTTACATTTGCAACTTCAGTTATGTTGTTTTCATGTATGTATGAGTATTTAGTAAATTAGTGACTTCTTATATTATGTATTAAGTTTTATTACAAAAATATTGACAAAATTTATTTTAGGAGAAATACACATTCTCTTAATTAGTTCATATTCTCAATCGTGAGAACCCAATAATGTAACCATTATTCATTGAATATAACAAATAACGTTCTCATTTTTACAAAAAACTACACTAACAATAGCGCTTTCTGAATTTTAAAAAAAATTATGTTAAAGGCGTGGTTTGCAACCATACTTTCTTAATTAAAAGCGTGATTTCTAATAGCACTTTCAATGTTCATCAAATTTTCGGCCCCAAACAGTGAAAGCGTGTTTTGTAATACCGCTTTAGCCTAGTTTGGGAATTCCGTCCAAACTAGGCCTAGTTTGGGAATTGAGATGATAATTTGGCTTGATATGGAAAAAGCCTCGAAATATAGTGCACATTAAAAAAATAAATAAATATTTAAAACATAAAATATTTATTCCCACTCCAGGGTGGGTTTTGTAAACACTTTGAAATTTTGAAAATTTTTGAAAAGTGATTTTGGAATTTTTTTTTCAAAAAATTTGAAATACAACAAATTTTTAAAAAATTTCTCAAAAATTATATCTTGAGATACAAACCAAACAAGCCCTAATTTTCAGTTTTCTAAATTAAGTTTTTTGAAAACTGAGTTTTTTTTGTTTTTAGTGAATATTTTTAAAATTTTAAGCATTTTTTTTTTACTTTTTTAGATGCATTTTACTTAGATGTGTTTAAAAAGTAAAATATATGTAAAAAATATTTTCAAAAATTAATAAACATACAAAAATATGAAAAATGTAATGAATTTTCGTTTTTTTTTGTTTGTATTTTTTATATTTAGTGTATTTATGCTAGGTATGTTTAAAAACTTAAAATATTAAAAAATTCAACAAAAACAAAAAACTACAAAAAAAATAAGAAAATAGAATTTTCTAAAAAATGTTTTAAAAAACTCAAAGAAAGCATTACGTTTTAATTTTTATTGTTATTTGTGCTGTAATTTTCTAAACAAACCCATCTTTGAATGCATTGAAATTGCTGCTCTCTTACTCATCTTTTCATTTCCAAATCCAACCTTCCCACATGAGAAAAAATAATTAAAAAAAAAAATTTCTGAAACCATTTTTTATTAAAAATATTTGTGGTCAAAAAATATTTATGTTGAAAATATAAATTAAAAAAAATTAATGTAAAAATGACTTTTTTAAAACCACTTTTTATTAAAAATATTTTTTGGTAAAAAATATTTAAGTTGAAAATATAAATTAAAAAAAATTAAAATTAATGTAAAACCGGTTTTAGCAAAACCGTTTTCTAAAACGACATTTCTAAAACCGTTTTTTATTAAAAAATATTTTTGGTCATAAAATATTTATTTAAAAAAAATTAATGTAAAAACGACTTTTCTAAAGCCGTTTTTTATTAAAAAATATTTTTGGTCATAAAATATTTATTTAAAAAAATTAATGCAAAAACGGCTTTTCTAAAACCAGTTTTTATTAAAAAAAAATTGGAACAAAAAATATTTATGTTGAAAATATAAATTAAAAAAAAATTAATGTGAAAACGGTTTTACCAAAACCGTTTTTAATTAATTCAGAATTAATTAAAAATTAAATAAAACCGGCTTTTCTAAAGCCGTTTTCTGTATTCAAAATTTATTATTATTTTAATCACAAAATACGATTTTTCAAAAATCATTTTCTGAAAAACGACTTTTCTAATGCCGTTTTACCCTATAATAGGAATGAGTCATGATAGAGACCCCTTTAATCACAACCTCACAACCCCACAGACACGGGGCGGGTGGTGATTGGAGGTGTAGGAAAAAAAGAAAAAAGAAAAAGAAAAAGAAAATATAACCAGAGAGAGAGAGAGGGAGTCAAAGGAGATGGGAGAAAATAGGGTATGAAATATTTTTGTAATAGGAATAAAGTTAAAAACGCATCCTAAAATGTTCAAAACGCCACAATCAGAGAAAAACGCCCCTCCATAAAATCCCCTACTACTCTCTCTCTCTCTCTCTCTCCCGCTTGAAAGACCCTCCGAATGTCCAGAGGTTTAGGGTTTCTAATTCATAGTTTTGATCCTCAGTAACCTGTATAATCTCTCTACACTTTCGATTAACTTATAGGGAAACAATCAGTAACAATCATAGAAATGGCGGCTTTCAGTGCACTCTCGCTATGCCCCCACAATTTATCTTGTCGACCAAACCCTAACAGGCGTCGCTTTTTGTGCTCTCTCGCCTCTCCTTCTTCAATAGGTAAGCAGTCTTCGAGCTTTTCCTGTGAAAGTGGAGAGTTTTATCTCTGAGTTAATGTTCGTTTCTTTTTTCTTTCTGGCATGTTTTTTCTGATTAACCAAACAGGGGATATAGCTCGTTAATGTATTGGATTATGATGTGAGACGTACTATTTGTGTTGTTTATTGATAGCTAATTAATTGGATGAATGAGATTTTCTATTGCATATGGCTCTCTTTGCAAACAAGTGATTTATGACATGTTTGTAATCGGTAGATTAGGGCACTTAAATCTTCTATTCATACTAAAAAATGTATTTTTGCTATTCATACTAAAAAATGTATTTTTGCTATTCATACTAAAAAATGTATTTTTGCTATTCATACTAAAAAATGTATTTTTGCTATTCATACTAAAAAATGTATTTTTGCTATTCATACTAAAAAATGTATTTTTGCTATTCATACGTTTTTCTTATTCTTTCGATGTACATTTCTGCCTGTTGCAATCCCTCTTGTTTACTTTTGTTAAAATCCAACCTTATCAATTGTTTTGTTTTGTTTTGTTGTCTTTGTTATATTTATTTCTGAAATACATGAATGTGATACTTTTGGTCCATTGTAGGTACGCGGGGACCTAAAGTACCCCGTAAAAAATCAGGAAGATTGGAAGGGGCTGGAAAAAGTATGGAAGATTCTGTTCAGCGTAAGATGGAACAGTTTTATGAAGGGTCTGATGGTCCACCTCTCCGTGTCCTTCCAATTGGAGGCCTGGGTGAAATTGGGATGAATTGCATGCTTGTTGGGAATTATGATCGTTTTATTTTGATCGATGCTGGTGTTATGTTTACGGAGTAAGTCTTAACAAACTGGTCTGATTTACATTTGTTTAACAAGTTGTAGCTTGGTGATCATCATGCTTCGTTCCTGTCATCTGAAGGTTTTTGTTTTCTTGGGGTCTTACCAAAGTATATGCTCAATTGTGTAATTTCATCTGTGCTACATCTTTCCCTGCTGCTCTGGATTCTCTGCTGCAAGTAGAGGATCTAATTGTATTAATCAAATTTGCTTCATAAAATTATTTTTCCAGCGTGGAAAACTCTGTCAGGCATTAACTTTTTCTAAATGATTTTATAATTATTTGTCATGAGCGAGCATGCAAGGCTAGAGTAAATCCAAACAATCTTGTACCACAATAATCAGGGGAATAAAATAAATATTCAATTATAAGGTTCAAAGTTTTAAAACCCCCCCCAAAAAAAAAAAAAAAAAACTACAATAAATCTTAAACATTTAGAAACATGCACTAAAATCCCCTTGTATTCCATTAACAAAATTTGTAATCTAAAATAAATTAAAATCAAACTTCGACACTCAACACTCCCACAAGCAAAACCTGTGCAACTCTACTCCTCTGAATTTGACAAAAACATAATAAAAGAAGGGTGAGCTCAACAATCTTACAAATGACCAACTATCAGTACTAGTTGGATCAAGCATATAGAAAATAGTCGATAAGCAAGGAAATATGGTTTCTAACAATTCGATGAAGGAGCAATTTATTTCCAAGGTAGATACCTAGTTAAAATTAACATAGTGTAATGTCACAATTTATTTGAAAAGATAAGTAATCCAATAAAAAGTCATTTGTTCAAGACAATGGTTTGATATCCAATAGTACAATAATTCAATAAACAAAACCCAAGTCGTAAAAGACTATGGCCACATTAGTCCGTGACAAGATCCAGAACCACACATAGGCCTTTGGTAAAAGTCCCAGTAGAAACTAGTTTTTATGCCAATAAATAACCTCCATTGGCTAGGGGTCCAAATCATAGTTAGACTGGAGTCATGTTTGCAATTCAAACAAGAAATAAAATATTCAATGTCTTTGGAATAACATTTTCATAAAATTTGTTTGAATTGTTTCACAAAATATATCTTGATTTATTTGCACAATTCATATTTGATGTTATTTCATAGTTGATCCGTATTTTTCTTTTAAGAACACAAGTGAGTGATAAAATATATTTTTTTCATTTTGCAATACACGAAACATATAGGGCTTGTTTCATTTGTTTTTGGGAGAGTTGTTTTTGAAAAAAAATTTGGGGAGAGAGTTTAGAAATTTTTTTGGTTTGTTTGGTTGTATATTTTTAAAATAGTTTTGGAGTTTGGGATGATTTGATATTTTGTTGTAATTGAGTAGATGTGTGTGAGAGAAAAAGTGATTGAGAAGGAGAGAGGAGAGATGAAAAGTGATTGATTGATGTGTAAGAGAGAGAGTGTGATTTTGGAAATTTTTTGAGAAAAATCATAAACCAAGCAAAATTTTGAAATTTTTTTTCAAAAACAACTCTCCCAAAAACAAACCAAACAAGCCCATAATTTTTAAATGATACAATAGGAATGAAAACAAACCAACGGTGATAGAGGGTTATTAAACCTCAAACGATAAAAGAATATTTCAAAATCTAACTCCAAAATACCAAGATCCACTTCAATCACGCAATCCTAATAAATATTACACCACATAAGTAAATATAATTATCATCTTATTTAATTCCCATTAATTAAACCATAGTACTGTAATTCTAAAATAACCAGTCACCACCCTTGATATGAATTCTAGAATCAGTCAATAGTTTCATTCAGCAACTGCAATCTCCATTCAATTGTTTCTTTTTTTAACCATCCCAAATTCCACTGAACAGTTTATATTGTCAACCCTACCTAATGGACCCTCATGCTAACCACTACTCACGGTTCAATTCACCCCCAAAATCCAAATACAAATTAAATTCATGAGTGAAATCCAAGATTCATGCATAGGGAACTTTACCTTAAATTAAAATCAACTCAACTTCAAGTATTCCATAAAATTTTATGAATATTATTCTCAATGAAACGCTAGGTCTACATATTCCATGTACTCATGATTACAACATGGAGAAGTTGAGAGTCTAAGGTTTACCTTCAAATGATTTTAGGATTAATTGATTCCTTGAATCGCTTCTTTTTTATGGCCTCCTTCAATAGAATATGTAAAAATGGAGAATGCAAATATGATGTCTTATATATATAAACTAGGAGGGTTTTCTTATCTCTATCTCTTTTCTTCATAAATCTTCAAAAATTATTTTATTTGCTAAGAGGAGGCCCCTCCACAAAAAATAATATATAACCTCAATATAACCATAATGAACCCTTTTTTGGATATAAAATTGTTAGTACTAGTGAGATTTTCTAATGTTATTATTGCTTATTTTTTAGTCCAAAAAGTGCACTTATTTAGGATACTCCAAACAACCTCTAAGTATCCGATACTCCAAAATTAATGAAAAAATAATTAAGAAGTATCTAATACTTTTAATAAGTATCCGATACGTATCCGCTAGTATTCAAGGAGTATCAGTATCCGATACGGATACATCTCCCTATTTGAAGTATCCGTGCTTCATAGGCTAAGAGGAGGCCCCTCCACAAAAAATAATATATAACCTCAATATAACCATAGTGAACCCCTTTTTTGGATATAAAATTGTTAGTGCTAGTGAAATTTTTTAATGTAGTTATTGCTTATTTAGATTCCTCCCCTTCTTTTTTGATACACCGACTTTTGATCACATGTGGACACATATTTCAGCTATGATGAGCTTGGTGTCCAGAAAATTATACCTGATACCACCTTTATAAGAAAATGGAGTCACAAAATTGAAGCAGTTGTCATAACACATGGTCATGAGGATCACATTGGTGCGTTGCCTTGGGTAAATTTTCTTTTCTACCACTTTATTATGCTAGCAATGCATTAAACATTTGTGCATAATGCATTGTGTTTTTCTTGGATTATTAGATGTTGAAGACACTGATTCACTTGTGTTTTGAATAGAGAAGTTGAGAATACGCCATTCAAGAGGTTCATATATTAATTACTTGCTACATTGATGATTTATTTGATGGGGTCAAAAAACAATCTGTGAAAAGTACCTATATGATCATTAGCTGCTCTATATTTTGATGCAGAACTCAATTCATTGGTATGAGTTTTGATGTAGGATGACATTACAGTGAAGCAAATAGCCGATAACTACCCATTAGTATGTTCACCACATATACAAGTTCAGCTGGCAGATATAGCATTTTGTTCCTTGTTTCCATGTAGTGCAACTAAATGTTAAATTTTTGCTAGAGAAATCATTAGTAATCAAAAAGTAACATTGATTCTCTAAGAAATATATTTAATTTTGATCCACTTTAACATTCATAACAGGTTTTGATAGTGTTGTTGGTAAATAAATATTTTGTAGGGTAGTTGAACTAAGTTTTAGATTGAACAACCTTTCATATCAAGTGTGCACCACATGTATAATTTAGATGGGCAAACTAAAAAAGCATTTCATTACCACCAATGGTGGTAGCCTAATGGATAGGAGATCACTCCCACTAGTTTTGGTGAGCATGTTGTTCTGGGTTTAAATATTCGCAGGTATAATGTGATTCTCATCCTCCTTCGCTCTGTGCTTCGGCTCTCTAGGACCCTAGTGGGGCTATGAGTTAGGCTATGTCTCACCCCTCTTGGTAGGGTTCCCAGCAGGTAGGTGGTCCTATGGTCCTCTAGGTTGGTCGCTCCCTCTTTCCTTCTTGAATCAAGCAAATAAATTTCATTTCTTTGTTTCCATACCAATGTTATTAAAAGCACACCTAGGCGCAAGGCCCAGCCATGCCCATCCCCTGCGCCTTGCAATGGTCAAGGCGAGGTGACTTCACTAAGGCGTAATTAAAGCGTGCGATTGGAACAAGGCGCGATTAAGCCCAAGGCGCAGGCCTTGAGTTTTTTTTTGTTTTTTGTATTTGAATTGGACCATTGAAATTACATGGGTCAGCTACAGCAGATCATATTTATTTAGCCCCAAATCAACAAACGACAGAAGAAAAAACAAGCCCTAATCCAAAGCTCCAAAAAAGTCGAACTCGTCGTGCAGTCCAGGAGCTTCGAATGTGCAAGTATGTCTATCTTCTCTTTGCTTTTGTCTCTTCTTCCCCTTCTCTTTGTCTGTTCTTCTCTTCGTCTCTTCTCTTCTATTCGTCAGTCGTCGTCTTCTTCTTCTTCTCTTCCTTATGCTACCTTCATCTTATTTTTCGTTTATTTTCTGGAATGCTCTATTTTTGTTTATGGAGTTAGGCTGAGCTGAGATTTTTAGGGCTTCAAATGTACTATGTTGTCTCCTTCTTCTTCTTCTTCTCTGCTTTTTTGCTTCTTTTTATTTTATTTTATTTTATTTTCTTCTCTGCTTTTCTTCTCTGGACTGCTTTGTTTATTAAATATTTATTCTGAATTGCTCTATTTCTTCTCTACTTTTATGTTTTAGTTGACCTTTAGATCATGGATATTCGTGTTTTATATTGAACTTTGGAATATTACTCATTTGTCTATGTTAAAATAGCGATATTTATTAGTATTTATTTTTTAAAATGTTCAGTGTTTCATTTTGTTTATGTTATACCAGTTAATTATTTGTTTGCATGCCTCATATTAAATTATATTATTTCAACCTGCTATGGTGCACCTTACTTTGATGAAGCCTGTGCCTCGCGTTGCACCTTGCGCCTTGCGTCTAAGGCCTCAAGAGACCTTGGTGCGCTTATCTCTTTTAATAACACTGTTCCATACACTGCAATTGAATGTTCAAGTTTAGTTAGAGAAATATATTGTCATCAAAAAGTAAAATTGATCCTATGAGAAATGTCTGATTATGAGCCTCTATAGCATTCCTAACAAGTTTTGATATTGCTAGTAAAGAAATAGTTGCATTGAAAATATGGACTAAACAATCTTTTCCTTTGATACTAACATTGTTGACACACTGTATTATATAGACTTAGGTATTGCCTAAACACTATGTTACACAGACTTTCTTACGGGTGCATGTTCAAGCGTTAGGGGGTTAGGGTTTAGGGTTTAGGGCAGGGTTTAGAGGGTTAGGGTTTATGGTTTAGTGTTTGGTGTCTGGGGTTAGGGTTTGCGGTTTCAGGGTGCGGGGTTTGGGGGTTCAGGGTTGGGGTTTTAGGAGTTTACGGGTTAGGGTTTTTGGATTTAGGGTTTAGGGTTTCGGAGTTTAGGGATTAGGGTTTGGGTTTAGTGGTTAGGGTTTTGGGATTAGGGGTTAGGGCGGTTTGGCGTTTGGGATTAGGTTTTGGGATTTAGGGTTTATAGTTTGAGGTTTTGGGTTTTGGGGTTTTATGTTTCGGGTTTAAGGGTTTTGAAACCCTATATCCCAAATCCTAAACCCTTAACTCCTTCCTAATCTCAACCCCAACACCCAACCCTTAATTCCTAACCGCTAAGCCTAAATCCTAACTCTTAAACCTTAAACCCCTGACCCAAAACCCCTGACCCCCGACCCTGGACCCTGGAACCCTTAACTCCTAACCCCTAGGCTTAAAACCCTAACTCCTAAACCTTAAACCCTAAGCCTTTGACCTCCGACCCTAGACCCTGGACCCTGGACCTTAGTCCTTAGACCTTAGACCCTAAACCCTAATAGAACCTTAAATCCTAAACCTTAAATCCTAATAGACCCTAGACGTTAGACCCTAGATCGTAAACCTTAATAGACCTTAGACCCTAAACCTTAGACCCCAGACCCCAAACTCGAAAACCCCAAATCCCAAACACCCAACCTCAAACCCCAATCCCAAACACCAAATCCTAATAGACCCTAAACCCTAAACCCTAATAGTTCCTAGACCCTAGACCCAAATAGACCCCAGATCCCAACCCCCAAACCCTAACCCTAACCCCAAACCCAAACCCAAACCCAAAACAGTGAACCCCGTAAAAACCCTCTAAACCCCAAACACTAAACTCCAAATCCATAATCCAAAACCCAAAGCCCAAAACCCCAAAACCCTAATCCCCTAAAAACCCTAAAACCACCAAACCTAAACCTCAAAACCTAAAACCTAAACCCCAAACCCAAACCAAAACTCAAAACTCGAAACCCCTAAAACCCTAACCCCTAAATCCCTAAACCCAAACCCCAAACCCTAACTCGTAAACTCTAAACCCTAACCCCTAAGCCTCTAACCCTTAATCCCTAAACCCTAACTTCTAACCTCTAACCCTAAATCCTAAATCCTAAACCCTAAAAAATCCTAATCCCACAAACCAGAATCCTCAAATCCCAAACCCTAAACCACCCAGCCAAACCCCAAACCCTAACCCGTAAACTCTAGACCCTAAACCCCTAAGCCCCTAACTCCTAACTCTTAAACCCTAACCCTAAACCCTAATCCCTAACCTCTAACCCCTGACCCTAAATCTTAAATCCTAAATCCTAAACACTAAAAAACCCTAAACCCATAAACCAAAAACCCCAAACCCCAAATCCCAAACCCTAAACCCCCAAACCCTAAAAGCTAAGCGCCGAACCCCGAAACCGCGAAACCCCAAACCCCAAACCCTAAACCCTAAACCGTACCCTAACCCCTAAACCCTTAACCCCTAACCCTAAACCAAACCCTACACCCTAACCACTGACCACAAATCCTAAACCCAAAACCCAAAACGCAAAACCCAAAAATCCCAAAACCCCAAATCACAAACCTTAAACCCTAAACCCCCAAACCCTAAAAGCCAAACCCCAAATCCCGAATCCCGAACCCCGAAACCCCAAAACCCAATTACCCCAAACCCTAAGCCTTAAACCCTAAACCCCAAACCCCAAACCCCAAACTCCAAAACCTAACCCCATACTCCAAACCCTAAACCATAAACCCTACCATAACCCCCTAAACCCTAAACCCTAACCCTCTAACCCTCTAACCCCAAAACTTCAAACCCCCAATCCCAACCCCCAAACCCTAAACCTCAACCCCCGACCCTAGACCCTTAACCCTACACACTAGACCCTCAACCCTAAATTCTAGGGCCCCAACAACTAACCCCCAACCGCTCAACCCCCAACCCTAAAACGAACACCTAAACCACAAACCCCTAAACCCCTAACCCTCAAACCTCAAACCCTAAATCTTAAACTCTAAAACCCTAAACTAAACCCCTAAACCCCTAAAACCCTAAACTAATCTAAACCGCAAGCCCCTGACCCTAACCCCAACCCCTAACCCCTAATCCCTAAACCCCCTAAGGTTTTGGGTTTGGGATTTAGGGTTTGATGATGATGATGCGCAGATTGTCCTGAGCAAGATGCCAAGTACGACAATCGCATCTAGAGCGGAGACGATATTCATATCATTGGCTTGCGAAAGTCAGAAGAAATTATTGGGATTAGCATTGGCTCCTAGCAATGCGGTAAAGAGGTTTCCCCAGTCACGCACTAGTGCTAGCATCCAGTCAGAGGGTGGCGAAAAATTATTGCTGCTGCTAAAGGTGGCAGTGAAAAGGTCAGAGATGCGAGTGAATGTAATTGATTTGCAGATCATTTGAATCACGATGATCAGTGACCTTATGCGATCTACGTAGGAGATCGTGGAGGTAGCTAGATCATTTACGGCATTAGTGAGTGCGGTCGGGCCAAGAGCTATGTTATTCATACATTGTCCGGAAACATGTTTCAAGGCATTGTAGCCGCCATCGTAACCCAAGAAAGTGGATCCGAGAATTAGATGTGGAGCAGTAGGAGAAGTACGCCCGAACTCCAACCACTCCTCAAAATTCTTCAATTGGTAGACGTCCAAGTAGGGGTTGTCCTGTTGAATACTCAGTCTGATCCAATGGTTGTTGGTTCGCAGTATGATGTTGAACCATCGAGTGGGTGGATTCTGCTAACTAGTAAGTGCGGGAATATTGTGTGAAAAGGTCTCACAATTCAATGCGCAAGTCCTTAATGAAGTCTCTGTAAGTTCCACTACCGCATTCAATGTTGAATTCCTTCGTGAATTCCGCCATTAACTGAATTCAAATTTACCATTGACAATAGTAATCAATTAACAGAAAAATATGAAAATAATAACTCAATGAAAGTGCTTGTAATTATCCTTTTCAACGTTGAATTCCACCATTGACAATAATAATAAATCAATAACTAAAATAATAATAATTATAAGTTAAAATAATAATAATTTAATAATATTAATAAATAATTTTCATTTTTCTCATCTCAGACATTATAGTCAAATCTTGAATCG